CATCGTTATACACCCTGTCTTTCAGTGAAAGACTGTTATCCCACCGTCCTCATAGATGATCGTGCCTCTGGAAAGCCACACAGGCCTTGCTGATACGCTAAGTAATCTCCTGTGATGTTGTCACCAGAGGTGACAACTACGAATGTAAATGAACCGACTCACCACTTCCATTGACTGTTCAGGGATAGCTAGAACCGGTGGTGGAGGATAGGTCCAGTCCTGCACCAATACTTTGCATCTTGAAGATGCAAAGCACATTGCGAAACGTGCGGCGCTACACGTCAGTCTATTCATGGGTGCTTGCGTAGGTACTGCCTCAGACCCAAGAAGGGCTATATCGTCCGCATACCCAAAGTCTGTCAATCGGTCACCCGGTAGAACTTAAACCCCGGAAGGGTCTCGAAGAATCGGGTCATTTATGATCGTTTTAATCACGAAGATTAAGAGGAAATATAAGACAACCTTGGCGAACCCCACTTATCGTGGGTAACTCAGGAGAGAGCTTTTCATAAACTCTTACCTGGCCTCGCAAGTCACGGTAGAGACTACAGAATGGAAAGGAATTGAGCTGGCTCGTCTTTCACAGATAAGCAGTGCCACAAGCTGGCGCGATCAGCAGAGTCGAACGCAACTTTTAAGCCAAGGAAAACCACCCTAGTCGGTATCTGCTCTAACGCTTGTCGAAGAGTAACTATCTAGTCGATGCAATCACGACCAGTTAGTCGTCGTAGAATGATACCCGTGCGAAGTTTAGAGACGGTAGAAATTTTTGCACAAAGTGCGTTGACCCTTATTGAAGATGGGCACGACAGTTAATGGTAGCAAGTCTGAAGACACCTCTTCAATGTCCTAAACTGTGTTAAATAGAGTAACAAGTTCAGTCAACCAACAGTGACCCATCTTTCCGCAAAGATGGAAGAAGGTCGTCGGGTCGAGGAGCCTTGTTTCGTTTCAACAAGGTGAGCCCGTGTCGAATCTCTTCCGACGTGAGAGATGTGACATCAACATTCCGCTTCGGCTCGAGTGATTCAACAAGTGTCTGTGTCACAACTTGCCTGCCAACTGCTCTTGTAAATGTTCCACCCAATGGGCTAGTGGACTAGGCTAAGACAATTGTCTATCTTTCTCAGCTATCGTGTCACTAAGTGATGGCTTTCTCGAACCCCTGTTCTGGATAAACTGAAATATCACTCGACTGTTCCCAATAGCACTGGTTTTCTCCATCTCACGGCTCATTTCCACGCGATAAAGCGAGAGTTCGGCACGCAAGTTATCCTAGTAGGCTTGCCTGACCGAGGGCTGTTAGCTCACGATCTGCTATCACTTCACTACCTCGTTAAGTCTTCTTGCCGGTGAGTTCATTTGTTTGTGAAACGACTGCCTCGTGCTCCATAGTTCCAATGGATGTTGCGATTTGTTCCGCCTTTTCTGACTATACCGTTCACTCAGTTTCGGTGGTACTTGTTCTAAAAGCTTGCATCACACGGTGAGGGACGCCCCTGCATTGCGGTGAGTCAGCTGTCTTTTTCTAAATCCACCTGGTTTTCATGCACTTTTGTCAAGACACTTCATCACATGATAGACGGGGTTTGTAGACTCCTATACGAATGTCATCCACTACACTTTCCCACTTCGTAGTGGACTTTTCGCTTTTCGCTGATGCCCATAGAGTTGGTCGCTTTGCAAGTGTGTTAATACCAGTATTGTGTCTTCTTTCGTTGCCCACAACCGTCGTGGACACTCTTTCTAGACCCACATATCCCGCTTCGCCCATTCTTTACACCAGCTTTCACTCTGTATATCAATGCTTGGCGCTTTTGCAGCTTATTTCCATGAACTCTGCGGCTTCCTGTTCACCTCAACAGCCAATTTCATCTTCACTGATACTGCGCGTTTATGCGTTTGGTTTTCGAAACTTTTGGTTTATACTATGGACTTTCGTACAGGGCATTGCACAGACTAATTCCCTTCGCATATTGTACGGTCGCGAACCACCCGGTGCTAATCTGTTTTCGATGCGTTGTGGAAACATCCGTTTAACGTTGCTGAGGACAACAATTCGTTTGGAGGATGGAACAGTGAAACGCAGCCGAAACCGCGCAAGCTCGTCTAATTTAGTCGTTGCCGTTAATGCCTGTTTTGTATCTCTTCGTCAGTTGTAGAACCACTAAACAACGAACCACATAGTCTAACTTTCACTGCGTTTTCTATCTTTGACTATACCGATTGACTTTTCTCTCTATCGTGCTGCCGAATACATACGTTTCCGGTTCGTTCTCATATTCCGCTCGTCGAAGCATCGTCATCATACGCAGGAATTGGCGCGTTTACAATCCGTTCGCTTTGATTGTGCAATTTCTTAACAGCTCGATTTTCTCCTTGGCACGTTGAGCCTTCCCTACCGCTTCTATTGCAGTTATGTGACGAAATTCATCTCACTGAGACGATCATCTTAATCACATGAGTGTCAGATTTCCCTCCGATTTTAACCCGATTACCATCCGAATCACATGAAGAAAGACTACAATGGAACAAATTTTGGATGGAATTTAGACACTTGGAAAAGAAATTAGTAGCACTTATTCGTATTCTTTCCCATCAGTTTCCAATTTCATTTTTATCACATTTTGCTTCTTTGTACATATTGAAGCAGCATACGTTATCGTAAAAACCCATGGAAACCTTTGGCAGTACCCCAAAACATCGTTTTCTGGAGGTTTCACAGCAATTGTTATGAGAAAGTAATGTCATTAGCATTGCTAGTCAGATTTTTCGCATATAACTAGCTGCTTTTAGCGGCTACAGCTTCCATTTCCCGTAGACCGATTTCACCCCTATGTCGGACTCACGTCGGACACTTGGTTGTCCGATAGGGCTATCACATTCCTGTGGACATCGAAACGCCCCACTGCAGCGTTGCATTGAGAGTCTTGACACATAGGACCCAAGTTTTGTGTTTTCCACGTTCTTTCGCCTCCAATTAACAGCGGCGCACGCAAAGTGAGTGCCGATGTACAACTGTTTAGTAGGCATTCGAAGCACTGGACACGGGGACACACGCAAGGAAATCACGTAACTCGGTAATTGGCAGTTTGTCAGACTTGAAATATTCGCCGTCAAACCTCATCTTTATTGATGCGGTCCTACCAACCTACTTTAGCGATTATTCGGTGGCATTAGTAGTCAAAAACATCGGTTTCTGAACATCGCTCACGCGAACGGGCCAGGTCTCACACTAGTAGACGAGCACTTTTCGTACCGTAATGTGTTAGACTCACCATTTCGGTGATAGCTTGAGATCACGCCCTGTACAAAACCACTGACTCATAGTGGAAAACCGGAAAGTGAAATCTAGTCGTAATACGCGTTTGCTATTTATCTTTTCCCTTCCGATTCACTTCAGTAGCACGTGCTGTTTTTCCGTATTAGCCACCAAGACACCACAACTGATTTTCTAACCAAACAGCCAATGGATTATGGAGTCGGCTCAAGTTTAGAATGCCATTCCTCATTGAATCGATGAGCTATTGCACCTCTACCGTCAAGTGACATTTGTCATGGCCTTACACACCCACGGTGCGTACATGTGCCGTGTCATTGATGCACACAAAATAAGCAACATCTTGGAATTTCACCTGTGTTTAGTAGGCCGAGGTTTCAATTATCATATCACACATATCACACTCTTAGTCTTTTGTGGCACGTAATCCATAGCGTGCAGCCTTCACAGTGTTGAAATCACCAGTAGCATGCATGCAGAGATTGCCATCCCAGAAGAGGCCTTGACAAACAGCCGCTCATAGGCCATTTGGCGTAGAGACTCCTCGACAGTATTCCACTTGTTATATTACGCATCTTTTGAATGCCTATGTCATGAAGTACTTCAGAATAGTCAGTGACTTTCCAGCGTGAAGTGGCTAGTAGCATCACCGGTCACATTGCGTCTAGACGATTGCCCAGTTTTTATCCAGTTATTTCCTGTTGATATAGAGTTTCATCTACATAATAAGTCGCTATACAAGTCGGTACCCGGATGGTTTACTTATTACCTGTAAATCAGCGTACAGAACGAACCTCGAAAATCTTTCGGGTGCCTTTGTTATTGACCGCATGACACGGGAAATGGCAGTGGCCAGTGATGTGGAGACCAGGTTCTTATATCTAAACGCGTTTTAAACTTATATGAACTTCAATTGAGATTCCGATAGGCTACTCAAAAGCAAGGTTGGTATGTCTCCTGGTGACAAACTAATTAAGTCTCGTACTGATTTCTTAATGTTCTTTTCTCTATAAGCTTCAAATTTGTTAGTGGCATTTGTTGTTTGTTGGTCTACACATGCGATTTACAACCTTGCATCTTCAGTTTGAACTTCCCTCTTTTGGTTTGGGTGTTTTATCAACATCCCAGCCCGTGTACAGCTGCTCAAGGTTTCATGGCTGTGAAGCATTAATGCAAGTCATAGTACCAACTGATGTCTTGCACATCCATCTAGCTAAGAGAACCCCCTTCTGCCAGTCCGCAAGGAATCTTCACTAAATGAGGTCTCTATTATTGCACCCTTGTTATTTCTTGCGGCTGGGATGCTACCGGGCTATCTGGAAGCAGTTGAACTCCTGCCTAAGCGTTCTTACCTACCGGGGTTACTTATTCCGTTGAATACCCTTGTACATTATTTTAAATTGGATCTTTTAATTTCCGAAAATCTAGTTGGTTATCAAAACTCACATTAGCAAAGGGAACATCAGCTATCGTTTATTCTGGCGCTAGTTTTTGTCTTAGGCGTTAGAGTTACTTTTCTGGTTAGGGTACAACCTTATGAATGTTTCCTTATAGCTTTACATGCTACCTAAACCTGGCTTGCACAGAAGTATGGGTGTGGCTCAGTTTGCCTTTACGATATAATTATATTGTCCAAGTCTAGACCTATTTTTCGCATTCACTCTACTTCGAATGTGTTTTAACTTCAGCATTCCTAACGCCAATGTTCTCGTGACTAGTTATGCTGAGTACATTTCATTTATGGTGGTCCAGTGTCAACGGCCCGACTATTTATCGTGTCCCTCCAATGGACGAATCTTCTGATGGACAGGTGCGTCTCATTCAACCGCCTTCTTGACATCCCAGTCATTGGCATACCAGTCGAATACGCTGGAAGCTATCTCTTCCAATATACTTCGTATGACTTCTGTATTCTATGGCTTCCTCAAGTGGACCGTGCTATTTTGGACCCCGTGGATTTTGAAAAGTGGTATTTTTAAACAGTTTGTTGCAGTCTTGGTATTTAGCGCATAATCCACATCAGCTTGTTTACTATGCGAAATGTGCCACGTACCTTGCCGCATTCTACGCCACCACCGTAATCATTAGAGGTACCTCTCCTTTTTTTGCTCGACTTACTTTGAAGGCACTGGTCGAGTGTTTAATCCAAGCTACAGGAAATTTATCGAAGTCTATCAGCTTGCAGAAAAGTATGGAAGTGATGATGCCTTAGTAGGTATGCTGTATTTGATCGTATTGCGTTGTAGAACGAACTGCTGACCTACAGCTTCTCGTCCGTTTGGCCCGCTCAGTTTGATATTCGATCGTTATCTGCTTCTGAAAAGCGCTTAACCTCCCCTACTCCACCTCGATCACCCGGTGTTTCACTCCTTCTGTGGCCGCTGACGTACGTCCCAGGTGACTTTATTACTCTTAAGCTCGCATGTTTCGATCTTTTATTGTTTTGTATGTCACATTCGTTTCTTCTGAGTGGAAACTGTATAGCCGCCCTTTCGCTTCTAATTCTACACCATAACTTCTCTCCTTTTTTGTCATACCAACAGTTGGACGCTTGCTCATACAGTTGGAATTCGTTTGACTTACCCAGGATGTACCGGCTTTCTAAATTCCATGACATGTAAGTTTACCTGAGTTTCTTCTTTCATAAAATTGTCACCTACCTAACACCCATTCGGTGAATGGGGAGAATGAGGCTTCTTAAAGGTCCAGTCGCTTCGGGTTTTGTGATGCCATTTTAGTACCATAACTCCAGTTGGAAAAGAACACTTAAACCTTTTATAGAATCTTCCAGTTTCTTGCAGGCACTCCAGGAGACGTTCTGCCACCTGGCATCCTTCACCATCGAAGCTTTGGTCTCAAATCGGTCTCAAATAGTGGGGTAGCATACAGGACTGTAGATTATCTTAGACTACTTATCTTGATTTAGATCACACACCGGTTTGTGTGAACATCTGCACACGAATCGACGGCACCCGAAACAGTAGCGTTGTAAACTCGTTACGAACAGGCTAATTGATCACTCGGCTCAACTGAACTATCAACATCCATTGACAAACACATTACTCTCCATTCCGCCCACTGACATTGTAACATGCAATGCTAAACTCGAGTCAATCAGTCTGTGGATGTACTTATCATCACTCGATGCGTTGGATCACTGCGCGTTCTCTGGTATTGTTTCATTGCATCTGTACTCTCCCACTAAACTCCACCCTCAGAGAATTTCGTCGCATTGTCAGCCGACAGCTCAACTGAAGCCTTCGCAGCGATCGGGTAGTTTTCTTGTCCCAATGTGCCTTGGAAATGGAGGCCGCCATTCTCACTGGAAATACTCGCACGCTGTCTTCGCTCATTCGGACCACTGGTCACAGGAGGTGTGGTATCAGCGACGTCATCTGTAAGAGGAATGGGTCGAAAATCAGTAACTTGCGGAGACTATGGACATATAGACTGAGCATTTCTAATCTCAGTTCATTCGCTCCTCCCCGTCCAACTTTGCACCCAGCACACCTGGTCGCATGCGATAGGCAGTGTCAATAGAGCCACCCACCGAAGCGGAGGTTTGTCTTAAGATCCGAAGCGATTTAAAGCTGAGGGCCCAGACTAACATTCCTTAGAATTGTTCAGGTACAGTGGTACGACAGTTGTCAGTAATCTATCATCCCCTATTCCTAAAGATCTGACAAGTTAAAAGGGTGCGCTGTTCTTTGGGAGAGTCAGTAATTGTCCCAACACTCAAAGAATGTTCTCATGCTTCATGCTACAATCATAGATGGATCAATTGCCTCCAACATGCTTCACGGGCTAAACCACCGCGTGAAACACACTAATGGGAGGAACACGCTGCTTTTCGCCCAGGTCGTCATCTCCTGGAGCATCACCCTCTCTACCCACCAAGGCTGCATTTCTGGACATTCGTTCTGCATTGAACTTATTCGACCGACCTGCTTTACAACCATGTCTGCTAAAGAATGGAGTTTCCCAGAAGTAGGTCGGCACCACACCTCTGTGCTTTAGGCACGACATGCTTTTTGCATTTCTTGTCACCAGTGGTGTGCGACAAGGATACTTTATGTCTTCGTTTCTCTTCAACTTTGCGATCAAAAACGTTCTGTTTGGCGCTTTAGAAGGATTGTTGTTTCGAAACATCCGCAATAGCTACTGTAAAAAGCGGCATATACACCCACTTGGACTTATATTCACTTGACTCCAAATAACCACTGCGCCCAAATCACAAATGCTGTTTAAGGCACTATAATTTAGTTGGTTGGGTCTCCTTTGCTACTTTACTGAGGCATGCTCAGTGGGACTTTTTCCTCATCGACGACCTGCAAGCAGCAGCTGAAGTTATCTACAACAACATTACTCTACGTCTCGATGCACTGGCCAGGAACAGACATGTACACTTTCAGGTCGCGAAAAGACTGTTTCACGAAAAAAAGCTACTATGCCAAAATAGCTACTTACGGCCTATCGCAAAAGGAATGACCACATTCATGGGGCAACATCACAATTTGGCAACATCGCTGAAGCTGACTTATCACACTAAACAAATTGTTGATCAAAAGCGGTAGTCGGTTTTATGACTTTTTTGATTCCCAGTGCTACCAAGCGTAATAAAGGCACAATGTCGCTCGTAGCAGCAGGTGGCTGCAACCTAGCAGACCCTGCTCAAACTAGTGAAAGGTTTAACTGATATTTCTGCACCTCATCCAACTAGAATACTGTGTAGCAAGAGTGGCCGGCTCCCGCTAACTAACTCTAAGTATTCGTTTGACTATCGGCAATTGCTGTTCCCCAATAACTGAAGAATAGGCACGTAATTGACGGGAAGAAGTATATTGTTAGGGTTGCAATAGTCCAGTGTATTGTCCAAAAATACACCACCGGACGATTCGTAACTAGCTAGAGAAGAATGTGAGGGACGGCACAATTGAGCGGCTTGCTGAATCCAACCGTGTCGCCGTATATATATGTTGGGTCACACTCAAATTCAGCTTACATCTCATCATTCTGCAAACTACCTCCTTCTTGACAATTTTATTCAATTTTGCACACAACATACTCAAACGAATTGAGGAATCTCTAAACCGCTACAACTGCACGCATATGCTTGGTGTTGCCACCAGTCATTCGACCAGCGCATTTGTATCGTATTTGATCGTACGGTCTACACAAGCTTATCAGGTGGGCAAAATTGTCTTGTTTCGGCTGTCCGGATGGTATTCCATCCGTAGTTTTGAATTACGGCGTGGACGGCATCCCCCTGCTATTGTTGGATATGTTCCATTTCTCCGTGAGCTTTAGCATTGTGGTTCAGCTCAGTGAAGAGAAGCCATAGTTGTACCGCAACTACGAAATATCGCCCACTAAGGCGCACATCTATTTGTCAAAAATGATGAAGCGACAAATCAAAGCTAGAACGGTCGATTTCCAACTGCCAAGCATGCTGACAAACAACTATCTGTATGGCTTTTTGAATACTCATTCCTGCGTAATGTACCGCCTAGAATTTCTAAACCATTTAACTGCCTTACGGGATCTTGGTATGCCGGCAACTGCAATTTACCTTGACCTACACAAAGACCTCTACTCGTGTTTCATGGAAAACATATCTAAAATTATATTTTATGGGTTCGGAGAACTCATGCTTTTTTGGTTCAAGTCATTATTTACAAATCGAACGTAGGTGCTACAAGTTCAAGGACAGTACTCTGAGCCTACATCTATCACGCGCGGTGTAATACAAAGCAGTATCCTTGTGCCGCTGCTGTTCTTGATCTGTGATAATAGTATCTTCGACGTATTAAAATCCGGCTGATGACATCAAGATTGTATACACTCTTCGTCCGGCTTCTCCCAATGATGTTATTAACATGATCCAAATAGATCTCCCTTCGCTTGAAACCTGGTGCTCAAAGCGTACAATGTTTTCTCTACAGGTAAATGTTATGTACTATCCATCACGTGCAATTTTACCCATAGCCGCCTGACTTTTGGCGGCAAACTGAATAATCTATATCGTGCGACACGGGACCTGGGATGGCTATATTCGTGCTAACTTGATTTCTGTAAACATGTAGGCTACATTACTGCGATTTACAAAGAAGAGCGTCAGATTGATCTTTTCGACTTCTGTATCTCACTTGCACGGAGTATTTACTGTTGTACAGCAGCTAAACTAGGCTTGACCGCATTGCATCGGAACAAATAAGAGAGTATTCACAAAACGCCTTTTTGGTTATTCCTCAAAACTTGAATCTTCTGAGGTATATGATCAGCTTCTACTTGATCCGCTCGGTCTATGGCGCAAAGTTTTCAACATCTTACACAAAAGTATATACCTTCCCAATCTCGGTATGACATTGGTGCAGTCAGCCGTTTACAATCAAGTAAAACACAAAATAAATTCAGCTGTAGATGGAAAGTGTAGTACCAGCAAGTTCGCGAACATTTTCCTCAATAGGTACGCCAGATTCTGTGACAGGCTGCCAGGCGGAGCATGTGTGTGCACGAATTTCGCAAAAGCATCTACAGTTTCTTGACTGTACAGAACGGGATCAAAGTATTCGGTTGTCTCACAATCACAAGCCAAGCACACAGACAGGATCCAGGTTTAATATTACCTGGTTCTTTGTTTGTCACCGCAATCTCTTACGTGAGTTACCTGTTTTAGAATAATCTGTGTGAGAAAGTGATTGAAGATCGATCAACATAAATTTGTTACAGTCAACCATGTTGTGTCCTGTTGCTGTCCTTCCAAACCTCATTATCTGAACTGATTTCGATTTTCCTGTTCCGTCTGTGATCAGCGTGGTATACAAGTATGCACTTACCTGATTGTGCCGACACAGGCGTTTCTCGCATCGTCGAAAATAAAAGTTTATTTGTCTCCAATCGATCCATTTGTCAACTGTACGCGAAAACGAGAATTAATGTTCTTGGCCTCGACGCATGGTTTTTCCCTTCCTATGACACCACACTGCTTTTCTCTTTGTTAGCTTTTACCTTTGCCTCTTCATACGCTTCGTATCCCGCTTGTTTTCGCAGTACCTCATCGTCTGCACGCACGTGATGAACTCCAAAGACGAGTAAGTTATTGTGATGTGACCGAACACCTCATTGGTTTCTCTTTTTGCCTATCCAGATTTCAGCCGGGCGTCGGATGCGCTGGTGCAGTTTGTCTACATGACTTGCAGAAGACCTGCATGCTTGCTATCCCACAACCCGTGTTTAGGCCTATTCGTTTCTGACCGATCACGTTGTTGGTCGACTCGATGTTCCCGGTACTCGCTTTGGCGGTGCATACACTAAAATTGGAATCACAGCGAAAATTAGTATAGCCCCTGCGGAAGCATGACACGCAAAATCGGGAAGCGTTCCATATTTTTTGCCGGTTCGTAGCGTTAAGGATCACAAGCCTACCTTGGAATCTGAGTGCGCGGTTCGAGTCTGCGTAGGGGACGGGTGACCGTCCCAATGCCCTTATCCCACTTGGGACCGGTGGTGGTTGTGCGGCACCAGAGAGTCGGTACTGCTCATACCTTTGTTTTTTTCTCTCTTTCGGTGTGCCCGTCATGTGTATAAATTACGACTCAACTTCATTCAAGATAGCGATTTACTTTAAGATGGATCTTGCTCAGTTTGATCACTGCTGTCGTAACTAGAACAGCTAGGTTGTCCGCCTGTGACCCTATACACTCCACAATCTGCCTCATACTCACCTCACAAAGTAGAGGAAGCAGCGGTGCAACTCCATCCCTTGACATAGAGAGTGCCTTCCACTCCTAAGCTCCCGAGTTGCGGCGGGCAGCGTTTATCCCAACGGTAAATACTTGTTTAGAGATCATGTTGTAGTGTTGGCTATATTTAAGTAGATTGTGACACACATCAACCGGGGGTTTCTACACTCCGAGATCAAGCCACAGCTTCGTTATCTCTATCTGAAAATTGAAAACGTTTACCAAGATCACGACGTGAAGTACGCAAAGTTTTCACTCCATACTCTTTTCTTCGCCTTTGAGTAATATTAATCCTACGAATTGCTTGATGTTCTCAACATGCTTCTCATTTCGATTACCTACTCTTTTCTTAATACCCGAAGTTACAATTCATTCACACATCTCGCTTATCACTAGGTCCACGTTGTTGTTTTCCCGATACATATCGACACATTGCTGGCACTTGAAGCTTTGGATTACTTGGAATGAATGGGTAAATCTAATCTTTGCAGTATGCTGCTACTTGTTAGGAAGGTGCGTCTCTTAGCGCAGATAAACGAAGATCACGTCCCTAGGTCAGAATAAGCATATAACCTGATGCCGAAAGGTCAGAACCAGCTTATGCCCAGACAGACAGGAAACGTCTCGACCAACTGGCTGTTTTCCTGTGATCAACACCCTTGATGAATCGGGCTGTGACTAGAACGATCTGTGTCTAATTGACTCCGGCTTGCTGCGTACTCACTTTTTGTTCTTACCTTTACTGAGGATTGGTCTATACTAACAGTTCGTCACAACAAATTTGGCGGCGGTAGCCTACACAACATGACGATACCTGTAGGGGAATTAAAAGCAGTTCCGCACCAACAGATAACTTCGGTTCGAAGGGGTCCAATTGGGAAGATATTTCCGCATTCAGTCATCACTATCCTGCCGCCTAGTAAGAATTGACTTTATTATGACCCACCGAGTACTACACTTGTATCACTTCCCCACACTGCGGCCAATATTTCACCTGCGGGAACCCTGTAACACCCGAGGACACCGTTACAAAACTCAGGGTCCCCTGCATGAACAAAGTATCACATCAGCTTTGTATCAAAAGAATAATCGTAAAGTTATGGAGTAAACTACCCGAAGGATTAATAGAGGTTGATTCTGTGAAGTGTTTTAAAACCCGTATCTACGATTATTCCGGAAACCTGTGCTTTTGTGAAACAATGCACATACAATGTCGAAAAAAGACATAGTATACCCAGAAATAATGACACCAATACGAATTTCTAACCAAAAAGGATAAACGATTAACTGATCAAACACAACTGCTGACGATTCACAACTCAATGTTTTTGATGTTTCATAATTCGATATAGTTGTACAGAAACCTTTCTACTTGCTCTTAAATACAGTCTCAGTCTCAATTTCGGCCCCGAAAAGAATTGCAGCCGAAGTAGTCGCTAACAGGGTTATGGAGTTCCATTATGAAACTTTCTCTGGGTTGCATTTTGAGTCATGGTTGAAACGGTGCGCAAGCATGACGCATGACGTGTCAGGCTTTTGGTGTAGAGGTTTGGTACAACCGCGCACACGCGAGTATCAAATTGGATTCTGCCGAAGAACGCCAGAGACGAAACCGTCCATTAACTATCCAAATTTTCGGTGGGCGTTCTTTATTGCTCGCTCTCAGTGCATGATTATAGAAAACAGAAAGCCGAAGATTACCTGTACTGGTAAAGATATTCTTTCATTCATTCATTTCATGCTGTCCATCATGACAGATCATTTCCTGCGCTTGGTTTTCATTTGCGGTCTCCAGTCACACCCCGATAGGACCAGGTTACTGAGTAACACTAAATTGCCCCTGGATACAACATTACAGCAACTAATCCATAAGTCTCTGCGTCCGCTAAACTTCAAGCAGGCTGCGTCCATGTTGGAGCGCACCTAACCCGCCTCCACATTCGGTGTCACTAAGATGTGCTCCAGACAGCCCACCGGAACAGCAGGCGTTGTGATAGCGATATCACCATTCGCACGCTGGCATAGTGGAGATTGGCATTTCTTAAGGTTCTGCCTCTCTAAGAAGCAGAGAGGTTCGGTGTGCAACCGACTCAGCCACAATGAAAGGTAATATCGAGCAACAAAACATCCCAGTACGCAGAACCAAAGAGGCTGATCAAGCAGTCGACCACATAGGACAAAACCCCAAATCGATGTCGTGTTTGTAAAACTGATCCTGATTTTAAGTGCCACCACAAGCACTTAACCGCAAAAATAGCCGGAAGGACCGTTCGCTTGCAACTCGATTCGGCGTCCTATGACGATCATGTCTACTTGTTATTGGTTACTGGTGTCTAAAAGTATCTGAAAGAAACTGGGCTCAGTAGTCTATCGTCAAACTGCTAATACGGCTAGTAATGTATGCATCAGTTGAGTTCATTTGCTTGGCTAATTAGACTGTGAGTTGGAAATTTCAGAGAAGTGCGATCACGGCACAGTCTGCATGGCTGCATGTGAGCTCAACCTCCATAGTGTTGGTGGTATTGAACATTTGGAACTTTCATACATACTGATTAACAGGTTGCGCACATCAACACTTATCCAGCTCCTGTGATTGTCCAATCTATCTGCGACAAGTCTAGATGCTTTGGCCCTGTTGATTTAAATCAATGCTTATTTACATATACACTTGGATGCTGCACGAAAGGGCAACGCTACATTTGCACCCGAATGTGTCAGCTCAGTGTTCAGACCAAAGTGACCAGTTTAACATGTAACTTTACCACTGGTTGACTTTGAGCTTAAGTGTCTAGAATAAGTGAAAGTACTGTAGCTCCTTCTGAGCGGTGCCAATCGTCGTTGTAGAAAAGCCAAATAGGATTGTTCGATTTCGTGTCAGCCATTCCACAGGGCTGATTGATGCCCTCGGCGATCATCACTATCCGTTACCATTAACAGAGAGAATTTTTTCGCTAAACCTGACCTTGTCGGACGTCCATCTACAAGTCGACATTGGAATCTGCTGACCATCAACGCCCACCATGGTCTGTTTCAATACGTCCGTCGACAGTTTGACGTAAAGCCAGTCCCAGTCATCTTTCATCAACTTATGGACACCATACTTATTGGATTGGAAGGAGCATCTGCACACGTCGATTACATCATAATTATAGAGCGAACTAGATCAGAACTGTTTATCCATGTAAATGTTGTGTTACAGCACACACTTGACTATGATTTCCCACTAAAGACGGAAAATGTGAGTTCTTAGATTGGATTGGTGTCATCATCGATAAAGTGAGTCGATGAACCGACCCGGCAAACATTGATGCTATCATGATAATGCCCTCATCTTCAAATGTTGACTACTTTAAGTGCTTCCTCGGATTGATCAATTATTATAGCGCGCTTCTGCCAAATGTGCACCGATTACCCGAAACCTTGAAACAACTTACATAATGATGTAGATGGGCATGGTCAAGTAAATGTCAAAGTGCTTTTTTACAAGTACAAAGTGCTTTAAATCTAAATGTCTGCTGATGAATTTTGCTCCAAAGGTTGCGATCATGCGAACGCATCAAAACATGCAATGGGAGCAATCATAGCCCACGAATTTTCTGGTAGAATAAACAAGGTAATATCTTAAATTGTTCGTTCTCTAGCACTAGCGGTGCGCAGTTACGGACAAGTTAACAAAGTCACGTTGGCCATCATCGTTGACGTAAAGCACCTTCATAAAATGCCCTTGTCGCAGACTACAAGCGTTGGCCACTTTTTGGCTCCAACTAAGGTACCATTGTGCACAGTGAAATATTTACAGCACAATGTCACGATATCACTAAACTGCGACTCCAACATCAAATAGGTTTCCACAGATGGTCTGGGACAACCAGACGCACTCCCACAACTAACAAATGATTGCAGCTCGCAACCAGAGGAAATGGTTCTCGCGAACATCGTCGTGGAACCCAAATTTGGAGCCACCGTTTTGAAGACCATGGACCAGCTATTGGTGATTTTTGATATGATCCGTTAAGCAACTGAATCGAGCACCACCCTTTAACAGTTGATAATGTATCACCGATCCACCTGGTCATAGCATAGCCCAACTGGAGAACAACTTTTCCAGTGTCCGAGCGCATTATCTATTACCAATGGCTGACTTTTTTCCGCCAACCGCATCGTTATTCCATCGGGACTCCACCGCAAAACCTTGATGCAGTTTCATTCGAGACATTAGGGTATAAACCGAATGAAGGCCTTGGCTAGGAGTCTCGTCTTTTGGCCCTGTATGGATGAACAATTGGAAGGTATATGCGGACAGTGTTTTAGATGCGCCATCACTCAACAAATGCCCAACTGACACCCAGCGGAACCCTGGCCAAAACCAGAGAGACCATGGATGCCTCCACATTGGTTTTACGGACAGAGTTGTATAATTGTCGTGGATACCTTCATCGTGGAGTCAACGGCTACAGCTGCAGCGGTTGCCAAACTACGACACGTTCTCCATTTCTGGATTTCCGGAGACGGTCCTGTCTGACAACGGCGCCCATTTTACCTCTCACTTGTTTGCTGACTTCACAAGAAGACACTCGATCAATCACGTCAGAGCACCTTTCCATCCACAACCAAATGGACAGATCGGGAGATTTTTCGACACTTTTAGGTGTGACCTACTTTACATCCAAGAAGGGAACGACAGCGGAAATACTGGTTACATTCCTACTGAACCACTGAGTCACTACAACTCCGAATGGCTGTTCCCTCACCGAAGCTCTGATAAACAGACACTTACTTCTAGCACATGACGTTATCCGACTAGTGCTGGGCCAGCATTCGATGGTTGCTCAACAAAATTAAACGCTGTGACCAGTTGATTCTGTGCCATGGCCATCAAAAGTAAATCGTCGACATCACTAAAACGCGGATTGGGCATGTTCTGCACTACGTCCAGGTTGGTCTATTGCTGTGGAAGCGCTACGTTAAACGACTTCAACGAACGCTTTGGCGTGCCCAAAAGCGTGGTGGTGGTCCATATAGCTTTCATGTTCTATTGGTGACGTTCAAAATGGAAAAGCCTGCTGAGATCGGAACCTCTTTATTGGACCTCAACCCAGACGAATCCAGCCGCGCGCGAAAGCTGGTTACTCCTTTCCGGGTCGATCCAAGGCAGAGATCGTACATCAACAAACTTAACAGGTAGGTCCTTAGAAGTTGCGTTTTCTAGTGCGCAGACCACTAAAGATCAGGACCAAAGGTCAGAATAAGTTTATACCGAAAGGTCAAAACCAGCTGGTGCCCAAAGATCAAATCGAAACGCATCGACCAGCAGGCTAATATTTTCCTGAGATCAACACCTTTGACTAATTGGGCTATAACTAGAACGATCCTTGTCTAACTGACACGTTTTCATGTCAAATTGAAACCAGCTTTCCCCACACTCACCTTTGTTCTTACTGATCTGCTCTAGCAGTCTGACACAACACTACTCAACTGAACATGTTTACGTGATGTTTGAATACACATTGGGCTACGATCCTTCTCGCTTGCGGGTAACTTTTGCATCAAGGCTCACCTCCCTTCCACTCATCAATTAATTGAGCTGTTCAAAAGCGTACACCACCTACACGGACATTCGTATCCTAGAGAACTAATGCCGTACCTGAGCTCGTAAAAACGTGCGGCTAGCACTAGTAGTAGTAGTAGTCGTAGTAGCAGTAGCAGTAGTCGTAGTAGTAATAGTAGTCGTAGTAGTCGTAGTAGTAGTAGTCGTAGTAGTAGTAGTAGTAGTCGTCGTAGTCGTCGTCGTCGTCGTAGTAGTAGTATTAGTAGTAGTCGGTAGTAGTCGGTCGTAGTGGTAGTAGTAGTAGTCGTAGTCGTAGTAGTTAGTATACAAGTCTAGTGTTGTTTCACTTCTTGCGGTGGATTGCAACTGTGTGCATATGCCATTGAAGATAGCTCGCCTGGACAGAGGAATCAGTTAATCTGTTTACATCAATCTTGCAGTGCTTCGTGTTTCGGGGCCCTCCAAAACACACAGATTTTCGCGCAGAGCATAACATGATCTGAGTCAACGACGGTGGACCAAAAGGACCTACAGTCCCGTACGCTGCCGCGCCATCTGAAGCTAATTGCAATGTGATCAATTTGAGACCACGGTTGTGTTGAAGAAAGGGGACGCTACGTTGCGGAATGCTTCTTCGTACGCCTGAAGTTAGTGCTCGAAAGAAACAGACGGTTGTCTTCGCACAATGTGAGAAGCCTCTCCGTTATCAGAGCGGTTCTCATCGAGCGAGTGATGACCACCAAGGTGGCGTTCGTATGGTAATAGGCGGCCAGCACGTGCATTAAAATCCCCAACAAGAATAACAACATCCAATTTTTTAGCATTAGTCAAGAGCTGTTGTGGATCCCGGTAGAATTCGTCCTTGACAGAGTCGGCACTGCAGTCAGTTGGAGCGTAGACGGAGATCACAAACAAGTTGCGTCTCTCTTCGCGATGCTTGTTGATTCTACATGAACCCCGAAGCCGAACTGCACAAAGTCGGCTGTTAATCGGGAACCAGTCTAGTTTTGCCGCTTCAGCCTTGCCACTTAGTGCTATACCTACACCAGCCAAACCCGCTGAGGCTGCTTCTGGATCTCCAGAAAGACGCAGGTGATATCTGGCTTCGTGGTCAGTGGGGGATGTCAATGTAAGCACAGTGCTGGGATCTTGCAATCGGGTTTCCGAAAGGCAGCAGACACCAATGGCTAGGGAATCTAGGGTGCGCACTAGACCGGCTTGCTGTCCATTCTGCATGAGGGAATGTTGAAGCACGCCAGACGGAACGAAGATCGGGGACGAAGGAGAGCCATAGGTTGAACTCCTTGGTCTGTGGCGCAACCGGAATCGCAGCCGGATTATTGAACACATTAATCGGGTAACTGTGAGTGAGGATTGTTAACAAACAAACAATTGGCACAACCACGAAGTCAATATCGCCATTTCACTCGTTTCATTATTTCTGAAGATTTTATCTCTTACGCTCGCATAACGCTACATTGCGATCATTATGGTGCATCGCTAATGTGATTCAGTCCATCGCACTCTGGTGCACGGATCTTAATCGCTAGGCTGAACTGAAACTGCACCGTTAATGAAATGCGTTTCTCAGCCACACTACTTGCACAATCACATCCTTCGTAAGTTATTCCTAAGAGAGTGACGAGATGTGCTCTTTGGGAACCTGGCCGCTCTCTTTCGGTCATTTTTTGTCAATCCCCTTTAACTAATTCCGGTCCTGTTTTTAACGATTACGCGGGTATCCAGACGAAGTAAATCTTGTTCCGAGAAATATCACTTTAACAACATGCTTTCGGTGTGTGGTCTATGGATTCGCTCGGCTTGTGTAATCCTCACAGACGACTAAACGCTAGTCACACATAATACCTGTTTTACCCAGGCATCGTTCAGCTTCACAACAACCGATATTTCCAATCTACGAGTTAAAGTGTTCTTGTTTCTATGAATCTAGTTCGTTCCTTTTGCTTTACCACTTTGCCTCACTTGTTAATTACTTCTTTGTGACGCTGCTCAAGTCAGCTGTTTACACCTTTTCGTGTGCGTCTGCAACATTGATGACCCGAACTGATTAGAACTAGTGCTCTTCGCCTGTATTTGGTGGTTTCATTTCTTCTGTTGTTTTTGACTCCTTACTACTCGGGTATGATGGATTTCTCGTTTGTAGTACGCACTCCGTCGTGTGGGTCTTATCACCGAAGATGGAGATTTCGTTGAAGCTATGTACTCTGATCGTCGGGGGTCAGACATCCTGTCTAATGGGACAAAATCACCTGGAAATATCCTGGTAATTCCTGTTTATGTTTTCGCTTGCTTGCACGCAGTTGACTATTAGTTCACCGTTTCTTTCTCACTGCTGTCCCAGGTCTTTTCCCTCTGTATGAAGTGAAGTGGAAAATCATATCTACCCTCCTACTCACTTTTACACTCGTTATTGACACCTGCCATTCATCCCATTCATCGCCTGCTATGCATGAAATCACCCCATTACCCTTCTAGACTACTACTCTACTAAGCCATCCATTATTCTTCTATAATGGTGGCGGCTTAACGTTTGTCAAGATGGAATTGATATATACTTTTTCAGTAAGCTGTACGCCATCAGTTGCGCCTCCAAGTTACGGATCCGGTAGCGCCTTCATTATATAGGGAAGTGTTAATAGATTCCTGTTGCTTCGCAGACGAAATGCATAAACAACCGCGGGTTGTCAACAGCAACGATTTAGAGCGCGGTTGTTTCTGGGTCGGTCACCTGCTTTTTCAGTAAATAACACAATGTCTCTTGTGGCGCGGTGTCACTGAGTACTCATTTTACCGCCGGAACTGTATACATGACGAACAAAGGATGCACAACCTTGATGGTCACCGGCTTTTATGTAGTCTTCCAAGTGAACACTGTGAAGAGGTAAGAGCAACCTGGCTGTCAACCGTCTTCGCATTTGATAGCAAGTTAGATGTACCAGGAAACGTTTCCTGGCTCCTGTGCTGTACACAAGCTTTTGGGAGCGCTGAGCGGCTTGATTCAACTCAAGACGTCTTATTCGCACTTTGATAGACGGTTCCCAACGTTTTGTGATGTATGTTGCATTGTATCTCAGGTCTTTATGACCCAAGGCTCCGTTTGGGTACGCTAAATCAATCCTCTTCCACTGCCTAAGCGACTGGAAGGCTCTGTGACCACACAGCATATATGAACAAATAAACCTACGAAATCCTGCTCTTTTTCTTCGCTTCCTTCGGTTTGGATGCTGGCGCCGGGTCCACTAAACCTGCACCGCTGTTTATGCGCTCTGAATAGCCGGCTATAAATAGCTGGCCTGTGGCCTTAAGGATTGCAAGTCTGCCTTTTAATCTGAATGCACGAGTTCGAGTCTGCGCAGGGGTCCGGGCGACCCTCGCAGTATCCTCAGCCCACGCGCGACTGGTGGCGGTTGCGCGACAGCGAAGCGTCGGTACCGTGTACCAGCGTACTGCTGATGCGCCGCAAATCGCCGATCTTTTTGTAAGTAACGGATTTCGATTGAAACCCAGCGTTTGTTCTTTCTCTGGTGGGCTGTTAAAACGGTGGCCCCTATCTACCTGGTATATCCACTTCACCCTAGTGTTCCTTTGCATGTCTCCTTAATAACTTCAACAGGTTTCACGGCCGCCCCTCACAAAGGACGCTTTCCTCGCTCTATGGACCAAGGTGTTTCTGTTATGGGGCCGCACGTTCCCCTTTAATCACTCTAGCCGATTCCACTCGCTGCACGTGTGAACTCACATATTCCACGAACTTCACCACTGCTCACTTGTCTTTGGACCAAAGCACACAACGCTCTATGTGAAGTTTGCATAAATCGCCAGCCTCGGTATATCTTCGAGGCTGCATTACTTTGCATTCACCTTCTGCCTAGTTATCGGGGTTGCTGAAGATCAGTGCTGATTTAGGTCAGGATGTGTCGTGTGGTTACTGTTTCTCTCGCACTTGTGGATACAGTCCGCAAGGGCCTTGTCGCTCGTTTCGAGTAGGAAATGATAGCAACCAGTCAGACGTAAAAGTTCACCAAAGCCTCTGGAAGCACGAGCCTTCTTGACGCGCACGTTAGGTTAGCTATTCATCTCTCCTTAAACTGCCTATGTTGTGGACGAAGACAGTCATTACCACGGAGTATCTTCGTCCCATATGTTGAGGTGTTTTTGACACACCCATCTGTGTACAGTGTCACGGAACCCTCAACAGTTTGAGGTGGACCTAAAACAGGTATTACTGCACCAAGAGTCAGTTGCATAGAAGTACCAAGAAAACCAGATGATAATGGGCCAACACGGAACACCTCAACACCACGACAGACAAATGTTTAGGAGCTGCAGATGTATGTGTACTAGGAATAACTACAGAAGTAGCGCGCACTATCTGGTCTCCAGGAGAGCCTCTTGGTTGGGCCTCCTAAGACAACCCTGTAACTCTGTCTGGGCAACCGGTAGTGTCATGCCCACTGATGAATCATGAATAGATTACACTGCTTTCACTCTTGCTATGCCGCTTGGCTCATCTAATTCTATTGCTCAACCTCCACTCACAGATCTCCAGAATTATCATTCTTCAACTACACTTATGTCCTTCACAGTCACTGCGAACAACTGCTTACTGGTTGCGCCTGACGGGAGTAAAAGTCAAACTCTATTTGTTCGCTCTCCGGCGATGACATCGTTCTTATACTTCATCGTGACATCAGGTTTTCCTTGCTCTGCTTTCCCATTCGACCTCGCCACGGTAAACGTTCACACTTTGACGAAGATCGGAAGGCAAGCGTGTCAGGCTCACATTCTCGGTAGACATCTGTTGCCTTTCAGAAACCTGATTTCAAGACCGAATTGACGTCATCATGACTGAGTGGCAACCAGCAGTTGTTGTTAAAACAACGAACAGGCAAATCGTAAAAGCCGAAAATGTGAGTGGCATCATTGTCCGACTTCATTTAGACCAATGACATTCAACCAACAGCTGCCGAGGAATTCTATTCAGCCCGCAGACCTTTGACCAACCTCGTAATTTTACGTGAAAAAATTGTAAACTTCGTTCTCTTTTTCTTCATTAAACTTTCCTCCAAAAGTAATACCTAGATTACAATCAATCAGAGATTGACACTATAGATGCAGGGTATTTATTGTGTATACTCGTGTAAAATTGTAAAGCAAAATCACGACTTCATTCCAGCGCTCTTTAAGCACGTGGAACTGCATGAGTTATCAAAAAAAAACACGCAAAATGGATTGTGAACGCAGAACATTTCAAGAACGATAGATAAATGCTTGCTTTTACTTCAACCTAACGGCAAGGCGCTTTGTTTGATATCTAAGGAAACATCGTCGTTTAGGAGGAACATAATGCGACGAGACATTACGATACAAAACGTAGTTAAGTACGACAAATTCACGGATCGACCTCGTGATGAAACAATAGCTATGTTGCAGAAAGAAGTCAGTTGATTGAAACAGTTTTTCAACAATCGACTAGAAAAATCGTGGCTGCCTTAAACGCAAGCTATTGTGTTGCAAACATTCCCAACAATGCATGCGAACCTTTATCAGTTGGAGAGTTAGTGAAGAAGTGTTTACTGGCTATTATCAAAAGATTTGTCCAGAAAATACCGCCAGTGCGTCTATTAGCCTCTTTTGTTTTACCATTACGAGACGTGTGGAGGACATTGGATGGGATTTGTTGACACAACTACAGGAAAAAGCATTGGAATTTTAAGCATTTTCCATAGCACCGGATGAGTCAACGGATGTCGCCGACACTTCAGTTGCTAACTTTCATTAGTAGAATTAGGGATACTTTAGAAGTTACCGAAGAACTGGAATCGTTGAAGAGCTTGCGTAGCACAGCTACAGCAGAACAGCTCTTTGCTTCAGTCAGTGTAACTATTTCTGAGATTAATTTGCCATGGATAAAGTTGTGTGAAGTGACCAGCGACGGGCCTGAAATACCCTTGGAAGGCATTACTGTCTAGTGGCAAAACTGCGTCATAAAGTCGAGGAATCCAATGGTGTTTAAAGCTGCTTGAACTGTGCTGCATACTTGAACAAGAAGTATTGTTTGTAATGTGCTGAACTTACAATGTCATGGCGACAGTAGTAAGCACAGTGCATTTCATACGAGCCAATGCCTTTTATCTTAGAACCTACAAATAAATAAAAAAAGAATTTCCAAGTAATTGAGGCTGAGTACGCTGACTTGCTGTACCACAACTAAATTCGATGGCTGAGTTGAAGAAGAGTGCTCCAAAGGTACTTCAGGCTAAGATATAACATTGAAATTTTCACTGCAGAGAAGTCAAAACTTCCGCAGATTTCAACTCCTGAATGGTTATGGGATCTAGCAATTGTATGTGATCTGACTGCTCACCTGGATGACCTCATTACTAGACTACAATGCCAGGGCAAATTGACTTCTCAAATCTACGCCGATGTAAAATCGTTCGAAATATAATTGCATCTCTTCATTCAGATGCACAAAAAGGCACTGGCGCATTTTCCTATCTGAACCGTACTGTAGTTAGACGCACAAACAGCCGGCGTGCCCATTCCAACACGCCGTATGATCGAGATCCTGAATCTTTTGAAGGACAATTTCAACGAACGATTTCAAGACTTCCAAACTTTGAGTGAAGAACTACCATTGTCTGAAATTTAGTTTGGTACTAATGCTGCGGCTGTGCTACGTAAGCTACCGTTGGAACTGATGAATCGCGAAAAGTCCCTGGTTTATTTTTTCACTTCCTTCTGTGGATGTGTATTCGAATCCGCTCCACTTCGCCGTTAACATGGCGGCGATATTTGAAAGCACATACATCTATGAACAAACATCCGCCACAATGAAACAAGCCAATTCGTACGGATAACAGATCTCCACGTACTCTTCCGCATAAGTATTAATCACTTTGAACCGAACATAAGAAGCTCGTGTCTGAAATGCAGGCGCAATCCACACCTTGCGGACTAACGATTTCCGACTGGAACGAAGACACGTGTATAATATCTTTAACCTGGTTGTAATTGTAGAAGGACGAGATTGTCAGTAAACTCTTTAACTTGGCCATTTTGTACACTTACATGAATTTGCTTCATCTTGTTTACAAGCGTTGGGTTGCGGGAAGCTCTAGATCAAGAGATTCTGAGGGATAAATGTTATTAGCGGATGGGGGGAATGTATTCGGCTCGCGGGCATCTTGTCTATGATTATCCTAGCCTATAGTCTCGAAAAGGTTTAGCACCACTTATCTAGACCATGCGCGACCGAGACCGTCGACCTCAAAAACAAGCGACAAGTCCGGAGTGCAAACACCAGCTCTGATAGACTTACACGTGACTGACTGAGTCGCTGTCCCAAAGTCAGTCAACTCAACCCAGAACATGCGATTATTCAGCCGCAACACACGTTTTCAGCCACGCAGCAAGATGTACATGCTATTTAAAAATGTGGAATAACAAATGAAAAAACAAGATAATCATAGCATAATCCGGTTTGTTATTTCTTAAATTACTTTGTTTTGATTCAGTACAAATCGCGCTAGGTAGTGGATAATTGACAAAATGGTACGCTCGTGTTCCGGTATATATGGATCTGTACCTCTGGTTGACGAAATTGACACGCATTCCGACAATACACAATGAAGGAGGAGATTTGTATTAGCAAGTACTGTTGTCGCGAGTCTCTTACAAGAACCAACATGGGTGGATACAAGGACAATAACAAACGTCAGTTTTAATACAGCACTGCGTCGCGACAAGTGTTTTAACGATCTGGAAACTACTTTGACGTTTTTGCCCAGTAGACTAAGGAAAATCACTGGTAAGCATTGCTTTCAATGGGGAAAGGCGCAAACAGTGATGAAGCGAAGTATTAAATCATGGGTGACAGAAAAAGCTCGCAGGCCTGAGGCATGGAACGACAACCTTCTGGCTCTTGTGCACCTTTCTTTGAAATAGTAAATAGGTTGATTTACTTCGTGGGCTGCATCACGCGTCGCTGGGTATGCTCACCTCCATTGTTCCTGTTTTGAACAAAGGAAACGACACCCTCCTGGTGCTCCACCGAGCGCTGAACGCAAAGGCCACTAACGTCTTGCGCGAACTGTCACATCACTCGCTCCATCCCTTACAACTGCTTCACGTTTTCACGACGTTCCTCCTCCAACGCAGCGAGTAGCGCGTCGCTTTCCCCACGAGTCACCTACGGAAGCTCTTCCAAGTGAAATCTCCTTGTGGCGTTCCACCATCGGCTGCGGCACACTGGTCAGGAACTGATCCACCCGTAGTTACTGTTTTGACGCCTGGCCCACTTCGAGCTGGACGTGATCTAACAAGCCCCGCATGTGAACTGCAAACGCGAAGGGATCCGCCTTTACTCCAAACAGGGCCTCCTTGGAACGCCGCATTACGACCGGCCAGTGTCCATTCTGCAAAGCAACGGCTCTGCAGTGGCCTGCTCTAACTTGACGGCGCCCCTTCGCTCCACTTATATAACCGCCTTCACTCTGCTCTTGAGGTGACCCTGCAGGGCCACCTGCTTCGCCCGGTCAGTCTTTATTTCTACCGCCTTCGCCATATTCTCGAATTGCTCCAGGAATCTTCTCGCATCTTCATATTCAAGCGTCGGCGACCAGAGGATCTTCATGATCCACCTTTTCAGGTCACGACACAAGTGCAGGAACCCAAGATGGGAACTGAGTTGTTTATTGTGGGAAATACCATCAACTATATGTATCAACTCTGAACACCACCCTCTTCTCTAATCTTCGAAATTTCTCCTGAAGGTCGCGCTACTTCTGTATCTATTCCTAATGCGCGTATATCTACGGCTCCCATGTGTTCCTCTGTTGAGCCTTTTGTATGGTCCATTGTGTTTCTTTGCTGAAAGCCCGCAGACATAACCGCGCAGACGGAGAATTTCCACACGGAGGATTACACACAACGAAATGTGCTTACACCTAAAATCCCACACACGGAAGATTTTCAGTAGTCCGGGAATTTTCCCGATAAAACATGTAATAACATTGTGCGTTGCGTTGAATTGACATTTTACTTAATCTCGTTAGACGTGTACATACAACTCGCGGCATAATTCGGTTACCAACACATAGATTCTAAGTTCTCTTAATTGTTTAAGTACTTGTGATCAAAGGTCGTTTTATGCTGACCAGGATGAGGTATCTAATCTCACCGAGACAAGGAAAGACTAGCCATGAACTCGGCCTGTTTACACAAAGTGGGTTTCAGCCGTCGAATCGTTGAGGCTTGGGAAACTGCGATAGGTGACCAATGCTCTGTTTGTTGTGTATTCTAAGTCAATCACGTTGATTTCGGCACTTGGCGCAGTGTAGTACATGCCGTGCGTTCGAACTACCAGACAATTTCGGTGTTATTATTATAATCACACACACACACACACACACACACACACACACACACACACACACACTATACATGTTAGCTAGAGGTGGGAAACACCTTAGCTACTGTACCGCAATACCTAAAAGAAAAAAGGGAATAAAATGCAACAGGTGCAAGCTAGCTGAGCTACCGGTAACGGATGGGCATCGTTCTGGTAAGCTACCTGCCGGCTACTATGCAGCAGAGAAAAGTAATTTACTATGCAAAATTATAGAATGCTAAATAATGAGATCGTGATTGGAGGGGGAGGCTAAGTAGGATGGGGTGGGACAAAGAAACTCACAGCACGAACGCCATTGAACTCAGCTCCTAGCCATATAAACAAGTGTATTCAGCCAAACGTGTCCATCGTCTTTCGGACTCCAACTAGGGAGCCGGGAGTCTCCGACCAAGGCCAACTTCGAACTAACGGCCTTCATTCCTCTCGACCAAGTCATCGCTTGGCCACCTCTCCTCTTCTTCCATCCACACCCCCGACGCGCAAACAACGCACGTCGCGGGAATCGGTAGGCTGGCATGCGTAACACGTGGCCGAGCCATCGGAGCCTGGTGCGTGAAATAGCGACGCTAAGCGGTTCAGTTCCTTTTCTTGTGCCGTAAACAAGGCGTCGAACACTGTCGTTGCTCACGCGGTGTTCCCACCAGATGTGAGCTAAATTACGAAGGCACCGGTGGTCGAAAGTAACTAGACTCTTTATGTCCGCCGATCTTAGGGCCCAAGTTTCACAACCGTACAGTAGAGTCGAACGTATCGCTGCATTGTACACTCTACCCTTTAGAGCGAGAGTGATGTCGCGTTGGCACCATAAGTGTCGAAGGTTAGCAAAAGCGCTTCGACCTGCAAAATATGTTTCCACAGCTGTTGAAGCCATAGGTCAAATCTGCCACAATTAAACGATACCACCAACTGTGACGAATTTTTCCAAACACCAGCATGCTGGTCTTTAAGTGGCCAGTTTTCGGTGTAGACATTCTTCGATGCGGCAATCTTCCGTGTGTACATTTACGCCTGTAGGCTTTTTTGCTGTGCGAAAATTTTGTGTGGGCTTCCCTCCAGTCACTTGCTGTTTGTTGTCGGTATTCCTTTACTACTGACACTCTGCAGTAACACCTGTTTTGGGCCATCCGCAACCACACTTGACCTGACGTACAGAATTGTGCCTCTAGGATGGATGCATCTTCCGGGGGTCCAGAGATACTATACCTCCTCGACTGTAACAGTATACGGTTGAGGAACTGCACGAATCTCACCTAGCGATCGTTTTTGATTAATACTTTTTTGCTGTTAGCTTCTTCGCAGTCGTTATGTCTTGACGAAAGGGGTAGAAGAAGCGTATCCGATGTGGTCATCATAATTCTTGTCCTTCTGCAATACACGCATTGCACTTGGATTAGACCAATACCTGACGAAAATGTCTTGGGGTATTCCCAGACTATGAAATATAAGTCCTCTCCCGTAACCTTACCATTTGACAGCAACCTCTTGGCTTGACTTACCGCTGCTTCAGTCCTTTCATTTGTTCGGCCGTTTTACGGGCTTGCAGAGTAGCGATCGACATTATTTCGGGTTGCCGCAGAACGCACTTAGATAGTAACAACATCGCTCTGTAATTAAACAAATGCCGAGCTGGGTTTGTTCCAATCACAATAGCTTGCGTGCTTCTTCTTTCCATTGACATGATTTAGGATTCCTGATGCGTATAATTTACTTTGGTAAACTACTCCTTTTACTACTTTATCAGAGCTTATGCTTTCTTCACTATTCTACGGACTGGTGACTCGACATCCCATATCTTAATGAAACTATGGAATCTCCCTTGTATTGAGTTACTGGCCGTTACCTGAGACCACCATGTTTTGGTTGATTGTCATTCACTCCTAATCATTGGGGAGGTTAGAAACTTGTAGGTCTTCTGTATACTGCAGACAGGTTGAGTGCTCAGTCAATCTCTGATCTACGCACTTTCTTATTATGCACTACTTTTGGTTTTTTCGTTTTAATTGTCACCACTTTTCCCTCTTGCAGCCGTACAGCTTCTCAAGTTTTTCATGAACGCCGCGTGTTCTATGTGGCGCGGTGTGATAAATTGCTATTGTTGGGTGCTACCAAATTCGTTTATCTACAACCATTAAGCTTAGGATAAATGTTGGTGTCATCGTTTCACACAGCTAATTGCATTCCTTGTTCATCAAATCAATTAGCATTTCAGCCTGAGTTCTACTACTGACGGTTAGACAGTGCCTTCGAATTTTTTCCTTGCTTCCGTCTCCACTTCGTCTCACCCGATACTTAAGCCAATCCCATTCTCGCATGTTTTGTAGATCATTTGCTGTGAAGGAAACGGTGGTTACCCAGAAATAGGCACGCCAGTGGTACCACTCCGATTAGGATACTCTATTCTTGCCTGGAACCACCCTGGATTCGGGAGTAGCACAGTAAGAACGCGTTTGCTTTCATTTTTTGCGAACATATCGCGCTCGTTGAATCGGAATTTGACTGCTACATTACTCCTTTAAAGCTGCATCAGTCTCACATTTTGGTCCTAGGGGGCACATTTTGTACACGAAATCGGTGGTTAAATCGCACAGTAGCATGACGCCTTGTTTACCGAAGAAATCTTCGAATGACACTTCATCTATGATGTCTCAGCTGACAGCACTAATAACCGGGTCACGGGTTAGCCAATTCTCAAATTAGAAACCAAAGTCCTCAGGAAAAATCACTATCGAATACATGGCAAACAGCATGTACAGCAAAAGATGGTGACAGAATATGTAGTTAATGAGTGAATGACCTAGCTGAAACTTCCTGGATTCTGGCAACAACTAGATGCCTGAAAATTCGTTTATTGCTTACTCAGGAAGTGCGTTCAATGAAGGTAAGTCATTCCCAGTAGCGGTCAAGGCAAAACGCTCTCATTGGCTGACCAATTAGCTTCAGGCTGCCTCGGGCCAACCTTCTGCGAGCTGCTAGCTAGAGGATGGGATCCGAGGTGTGCTATGGACAGGTTACCTTAATACCCACCCTGCGAAAACTGATGTACGACATCCTACTTTGATCTAGCTATATTCTAACCACAGATCTCCTTATCCGATCAGCCCCTCATCGTGGCGTTTAAGGTCACTAGCTTGCCATGGGGTCTGAGGTCGCGGGTTTGAACCTGCGTGGGGCGCCGGGAGACCCTCGCAGTATCCTTAATCCATGCGAGACTGTTGGCGGTTGCGCGGTAACGAAGCATCGGTACTGCGTACCGACATACCGATGATAACTTCCTGTTGCTTTATCGTCATGGCTACAACTTCGTTCCTTCGAAGGCCACTCTGCATGGCTCATTCGGTTCCCTTTGAGTTCCAAGGTGTATGTCGAAAATTTTCAGCAAAATATCCAGTGATAGCGATCGTTCACGGGTACTTATCTGAATGCCGTTTGGCCGTAGCTGCTTTGCATGCCTGGTGTAAATTAGTATTCCACTCGAGTTTCCTAGGGTACTTGCCTATGTCTACTTGGCTCAATGTATTCAAAATACTGTTACTCAAAACTTAATAATAATAATAGTAATAGTAATAATACTACCAACTGCGGCGAAGATGCACTACAACTGCTACATCAGCTTCAGCATAAGGCGCACATGAATGGTTAGTGACATATGGCTCCGGATTTGCCTGTCACTGCGGCCTCCATAGGACAGCCACAGGACGCCTGCGACTACAGGGGAACCATGGGCAGTTTGCGCTGCACCATCCACACTTCACATATGTAGTGTAAACCCGAAGAAATAAGACCGGGAAGCCTGTGGATGGGAGCCACGTTTCATCAACGGAGCCAGCCCACACTCCTTCAAAATGAACACCATCGGGACTCATGTTAAGCTGTGGGGAATCATGCGTACCAGAAGCACCCAAGGCGGTGACTCGACGGTAGTCCGCTCCAAAGTAAATGGAAACACTGTTTGAGCCTAGCACGGCAACGAAGACCGTGCACCCCGCCACCCAGCGAAGATTAGCAGTCTTATGGAGCCACTAATCGAGGTGGAGGGTGTTAGACAGGTAGGCACCTTGTCAACATTCACACTAAGCGCACCCACATCGGGGATATCAAATAACGGGATCGGTTCCAACGACATATGCAAATGTGCGATTGCCTACAGTATTCCTCATCTGATTTAATGAGTGTTTCTCGTGTCCTGCTGGAAAATGTTTGGGTGCTATCGGCTGTTAGGCATTCCCATGGAGTATTCTAGGAAAGCGGTGTTTTGCGATGGCATTTATTTCTTGGTGGGACCTGGGATAGTTGCTCTGATATTCAGTAGGGAGTAGCTCATTCGGATTTCCAATGTTCTTTATTTCAGACTTTGCAGTTTTGTTCTTAATTGGTGCTACACATTTTGCGGGCTGGTTACTTGTGGAAGCGGCACATGATATGGCACTTGCTTCTTTGGGGTTTGTAATAGTTGTGCGTGTGCCCATTATCTGCCAGCCATATCGAGTCAACAATGGGTTCGTGAATTCGGGGCTGGTGTGTATCTTTAGCTAGGGGCAGTGTTGGTGATCTGTCAAGGTCGACATCGTTGTCCATACGAGAAATATGAGAAATATGAGCGTCAGATTGATCTGCGTTACTTGCAAACCCCATTGTAATGACCTTAGGTCGCCCCTGATCAGTTTGTTCGTGCAACAATGAGCTTTCGAGATGTTCATGCGTTGTATGGGAATTTAAGATTGGGGCATTGTCTCATTGTCGCCTTCTTCTGGAGCCTGAGATCTAGACAGATGAAACATATCAACTTGCATGCCGCAAATACAATATTTTTAACTTCATGCAGGCATTTCCCTTCACGAATTTCAATACAGCAATAAGAAACAACATTTTAACAGAATTTACTGAATTCAGCGTATTCTTATCAGTTGTTTACGTACAGTTAGTGGAAAACACAGTGCGATATTAACAGCAAAAAATTCAAAGCGGTCGAAGGGTCCTTAGGCTCCCGTGACCCGTTCCGAGGAAAACGCAATCACTAGTCTCACTACGGAAGGGCTAGCGTGGTCACGAAATCCGTTTGCTTGCACAGATTTGGTTTCAGCCGTCGAATTGCTGCCGCCTCCGCAAACTGTAATAAGCGGGGAGTAGCTTGTTTGCTAACTACCCTGAAATTGCCACATGGGTTTTGACACTCAGGGCAGTCAAGTATGTGGCGGGCAATAGAGCTAGTCGGTAGCTTCGGGCCCTTATCGATCATGTTTCGCGGAACATGCTCTGTAATACTCGCTGACAGCCTTCTCAGTTCGGTCTATGTATTTACTACCGCAAGTACAATTAAAGAGGTAAGTGCATGAGGCGGTAACTTGAGAGTCCGGTCTGTCCAGGTTGGATTTACAGAACAACCTTCTGGCTTGATGCAATACCACTAGCTCAGCCGCGTGGTAACACTACTTATTTGATTGACGGAGGCGATGCCGGCATCTTCGGTTAACTTGATCTCCTTTGAAAGGCAGTGTTATGAATACTTTTTCTTCGGGGCATCGGTTGGTGGTTTATCTCAGGATCGTATTTTCGTGTGCCATGCTATAAATCGCGCGGGATACGCATTCTCTTATAGTGTCGAGGTGACTCGTTCCAGTTCACGTTCGATTGTGTCTAAGAAGCAACCGATGTCCCGAAGAAAAAAGTATTCGCGAAATTTACGCGAAATTGCTGAATTCAGTAAATCCTATTAAAATGTTGTTTCTTTTTGCTTTATTAATATTTTTAACTTTTATACTTCATTTTAGCTTTTAAGTATATATCAGAAAGCAGCCTTGATTCTATTTTACGCCAAAACGTGGCAGATCGGTTTTCAGTGTGATGTGTTCTTCAAGTGCAGTGCTACGGTCTTTCATTTCAGGTGATAAATTAGTGCTATCATCAAGATGGTCAGTTACTGATTCCTGTTTTTTTTCGTTGTATTAGCCCTTTTCGTTTTAATAGCAGCATCGCTTCAGATTGTCACTGTTTTTTCCTTATCTAAGCTGAGGCACTTTTCGTTTTAGTGGTATAATTGCCGCAGAATGGTGTTTCTTCTTGCCTTTCCATTGTCATGGCTATAGCATAGATGTTTTGGTATTTGTACTGTTGGAATTAAATATATCGCTATTTGTATCGAACTCCGACCATCCTCTACAAAGCGTGCTAGATGTTGCAACCTGGGAGCCTATGAATGTCATGTAAGCCTTCTGATGATTACGCTGACGGTGGTGTGTCAGTCTCCATCCAGTTGAAAAATGACTGTCCGGAAGAGGGTAGTATTAGCGCCAGTGTCCTTTACCCGCAAGTCTGCGCGTTTCCCATTTTGAAATCCAGCCTATTGCTTAAAGCTTGCTGCTGTAGTGAATCCGGCATGGTAGCTTTAGCAGATGTACACTGTTCATGGGCGGTGAAATAGATGAGGTTGTAAATTTTTACGTAATAACTCCGATTCAAATCAGCAGTGAGGCTGGTAGACAAACACCAGGTAGCAGTTTCTGTTGGTCTGCTCAGATCGTGGAATATAGAAAAGAGAAGAAGAGCACAAATCAAATGGTGAAAGCAATCGGAAAGAAGATAATGGATGATGAAACACCAGTGACCCCAAATAGTCACAATAGAAAGCCAAACTGCCTAATAGGTAGTCAGTCTACGAGAATCAATATAGAATTCATCACACCGACTTCTAAAGCAGATAGTCCACATGCCCAGAAAAGCGCTAGACTATGGTCGTGACCTGTTGAGTCGCGTCAATGATGTGTATCCATCGGCTCCACCAGGATGCGAACCTAGGAAAACTAGCGATTTGAACCGCCAGCCAGCGGTTTATGCCACTGAGCCACGGGGGACAGCAGCGGACCCTCATGGTTTGCAAGCTGACTGTGATCTAACGTGTCTTCCTCCACTGCCATGCTTCACAGGACAGGGTTAACAGAAAACATTCTGTATTCAAACACTAAGCAGAATGTATCGATCGTCCAAGTATCCCTAGTCTGCGCCTCACCGAGGGAAGCGCTGTACAAATTGCGGTACGCAGACGCCGCACTTGGTGCGTAGTACATTGTGAGATCCGATCGGATCTCCGGACTGCCGTTAGTATTCCTCTGGGTTTTCTCAGAGCGTGCAGTGTGCGACACTTACGGTGCGTCCATGATGATCGGTAGACACATCCCGGCGATGGTGTAGGTTTAGTTATTTTAAACCGCTAGTCGATACTCGTCACATCAAGGCTCATTCAGACGGCCATCATGCGCCCGAAAATGCATAACTAACCGTTTTCTCCTTTCGGTAATCGTTGGCGGGTGTGTTCCAACTACTCATAAGTAGACGGAATATCAGAAAATTAGTGTTATCTGGATGCTTGTTATGGTCAAGCTTGAGTTGTGAGAGCAAAGGAAATGGTACAAGCGGAGGAGCAGTTCATACTATGGAGTAG